TCAGAAACTTACCTTTGTCGATAAGGCTAGTGCATGTTTGGAGAGAGTGCCTGCTATTTGTTTGTTCCATCCCCAGTAAGGATTGAGAGCATCTGCTAGCTGGAGAATTACCGAGTGGAGTTAAGAGTTCATTGCTGTTGTCTTTTGTTTGATTCTGGAGTTCACATTTTTCCTCAGCTGTGTAATATGAGAACTCTTATTCCGGACACAGCATGCATGTAAAAATGGTACAAATGCATGATAGTGTTAACAATGCAAGCATTAATAACCAGTGTATCTGTGCAAACAACAAAATCAGCGTTAGGAAGCCAGTTCTATAAATATCTTTGCATTGAGTGACCTGGGTCATCGGAGTTGCTTCCACAGCACCGCTGGGACATGTTTATAGAAGTGGTGAGATGCAGCAGAGCAAAATATACAGTTGCTTAATGTGCAACAGCAGAAGCACAAAGTCTTCAAATATCATTAGCCTTTGATTAATAATTCATCTTAAAATCAGTTTTTAAAAAATTAAAATGCTGAATGCAAATCCAAATTGAAGTTATATTGGGAGATGGAAATATTAGTGCTATTTCCCACCTCATCTTCCCCCCGCCCCTCCCAGAAGTGATCTAAATTGGAGCCTGCATGTGCACAGAATGCAGTGTGATGCATACAGTATGTTACCTAAACGCAACACTTGATAAACTTCTATTGCTTTTTTTTGTGTGTGTTTTTGTGTTTTATATCTGTTTTTTCCAGGCTTCGTGGACTCGGCCCGAGAAGCAAGAGGTATAAGATTACCAGACCAATAGCCAATCCCTTTAGGTTTTTTTTTTTAAAAAGTATTACAGATTAACACACTGTTAGTACAGTAACCAAGCCAGTATTAATAATTTAACCGTATTAAAAAAAGAAAAAAGATCAGCTGATAGTGGTAGAAATTGCTTGGCTTATAGCGACGCATCTTTGGATGAGCAAACAAGCTGTGTCAGGAGTTGGCAGAAGTCATGCGTGAAAATCCTGCTTGCCATTTAAAACACAAGACTGTCATTTTCAGTGGATGTGAAAGCAAATAGACAAAAGCCCATTTAGCCAAATTGCCATCCTAGAGGTGGCACTGAGCTGGAATTAGGAGACTTTCCTTCCATGTGGCTTGGGAAAGTAGCTTCCCTCTAAGAGCCTGACTGCCTCCACTCCAGCCCAACTCACCTGTTTGCTCATCGCTCTCATTAGGCTCAGTCTTCTCTTAAAGAACAATTGCATCACATTCCATCTCAAAAGCAATGCAATTACATGTCTCCAGGCTGTGTTTCTCCACGAAATGCTCCCGGTTACTAAATTTACCTTATTATTTATCTCTTTGGGGAGGAAATGGGGGGGGGGGAGTTAAATATTTTTCACATGAAATTACGTATTTAAAATATTCTGTTTTTACATATTCATGATTTGTAGAGAGACTTCTTGCTTCCGAATGTGCTTGGGAACCTAATTCCCAAGCAAATAGCAGTGGCTAATCATTGGTGGTTAGAGTTTGGTGACTGCATTTCGTATTCTTAACAGCAGTATTTTGGTAGCCTGATTGAGTATCTTAACCCAGTGGGAAGTAGAGAGGGTGATGTGGTTTAGACAAGGTTCGGCTGTTACCCAAGCCCATCACATCTACTTCAGGTGAGGATGATGGGAACTTGCCTAGTCCTGTTCTGAAATAGTATGTTGGAGAGCCATGAACATGGAAAATGGAGATGTTGAATATTCATGCTGGTTTCTACTGGAGGATTTGGAATTTTAATAGTTTCCTTTCTTTAGTTTCTTCTAAGTTAATTCATGTTATAATTGTATATTCTTTAATACATTGCACTGTGTATCTCATGCCTTTTTAATTGCAAAAGTAATGCTACTAAGCTTACTCAGTCTGAAATCGTTTCCCTCCCTGACTGCTAAAAGAGTTGAGTGGGGTTCTATGAAGGATGTTTTATTTATTAAACTCTCGCCTTGCGTAAGCTACTTTGGAGGGGAAATAGCTGTTAGCTACTTGTGCTTCTGAACCCCAATCAGCCTTACTCTCATTCTGCATAACCCTGTAAATTCTCCCTCACCATTCCAGCCCAGAATGTACTGGAGAAAGGGAGAGCGTCAGAAGTTAGCAGCAGATATGAACCAAAAAGAGTATTATCATCACAGCCAGATGTTAAAAGCTCAGTTACAGGCAAAACAGACAGTCTTATTACAGCTTGAGTTGTGAACAAGACTTATCTGAAACATTCCACTCCAACGTAATCAGGTCCCAAATTAATGGTGCCTTGCTGAGATCTGTGCAAGGCAATGCTAATTCCCAGTTAAGTGCACTCCGACTGGGATAATGAAAGCACAGAGCTAGGTTGGCTCCCTCATCTCCTTCCTTTTGATGTTCCAACTGTGTCCAATATTTCAGGGTGCCTCCGCCTAGTGGTGCTTGCCGCTTTGCTGATGATGCCAATGTGTGTGAGAAGCAAGTGGGGGGGGGGAAGAAGTTGTATCTGTGTGCTCTATTTGGAGAGGACTCAAACATCCTAAAAACAGACTCTTCTCACCCACAAAGGAGTAAATGTCCCTTTAGCTCTGGAGGATTGAAAACCAGGCCTGCTCTTTTGATAGCATCTAATACCCTGTGAATTGGGAAAAGTACAGAGAAGGGCAACAAAAATGATTAGGGATATGGAACAACTTCCATGTGAGGAGAGATTAAAAAGGCTGGGACTGTTCAGTTTAGAGAAGAGATGACTAAGGGTATATGATTGAGGTCTATAAAAGCATGATTGGTGTGACGAAAGTGGGAAAGTTACCTCTTCACATAACACAAGAACTTGGTGTCACCCAATTTAATTAATAGGCAACAGGTTTAAAACAAACATAAGGAAGTACTTCTTCACACAACGCGCAGTCAGCCTGTGGAACTCGTTGCCAGGGGATGTTGTGAAGGCCAAAAGTATAACAGGGTTAAAAAAAGAATTGGATAAGTTCTTGGAGGATAAGTGCATCAATGGCTATTAGCCAGGATGGTGAGGGATGCAGCCCCATGCTTCGGGTGTCCCTAAACCTCCAACTGCCAGGAGCAGGGACTGGACGACAGGGGACACATCACTTGATAATTGTCCTGTTCTATTCATTCCCTCTGACGCATCTGGCACCAGTCACTGTTGGACGACAAGATACTGGGTTAGATGTACCGTTGGTCTGACTTCTATGAACAAAGACAAAAAATATGGTTTCACATGAGAAACATAGTGCGATAGACTAATGCCTCATTAGGAAACCTTTCACAGCTCCTGTAAAGCTACCAAATATAGCGATCCAGACTGGCACACTGTCCCATGCATACATGAAATAGAGTTCAATGTCTCCGTGTCCTAGAGACTGTGCCAGGGAGAGAGGGCAAACTTATTAGCATGTGGCCTTGGCCTGGTTTCGTCAAGCTTGCAGCAAACCTACTTGGAGCAGGGGGGGGGACGACAGGAGAGAGAAATGCAGACTTGCTTCCATATTTTATCAATGGATATCAATTCTCTGCTTCTAGATAGGAAAGGCTTAAAGGACAAAAATGTGCTGAGTTAATAGATTCAGATAGAGATGGAAACAGTGGGGCAGGTCTTTTTAGCACACCTTGTTAAGAGCTGGACCATCATCTTTACTTATAATTATCTCTTTGAACCTCAAGCTTTTCCCAGGCTTCAACCACTAAACAAAAAGATATCTTAGACCCAGAAGAGCTGTGCACCCAAGATCTGAATAGAGCTCTCTGTTAAGGCTCAGAGTTTCTGTGGGGTTTGCGATTGTAAGTCTGTTTAGCTGGAAGTTTGGAGCACTTACTGTTGTAATCACAACATGCAGTTGCGCACACAGCCACAAGGGCGTGCAGTTTACCGGTTGGTAGCGCCCAATAGCGTGTTAGGCACTTCACAAACAAGTAGATGTTGTCTGTGTTTCAAAGGGCTTAAATTGGAGTAGTGGGTAAGGCAAAAGGAGCAGGGAAAGGTGACAAAATTCTATGGTTATACGGTTTGGGAGAGCCTGTCTTGAATGATGCATTCTTACGATTCAGGGATGTTGGGAGTTGCAACATTTCAGTTGTGAAGGAACAAGGTGATTCTGACAGACGGTTGTAATCTCTTTGAACGCCTTGTAACCTGGATGTAATGCTCCCTATCTGTACACTGCTTGACATATATACATTCACACACTGCATATAGGAACGATTCCTAAATCAGCTTGTAGCCAATCACCTTATTACAGAACTTGTTTAAACTCACAGACCCTACGAAAACTTCAAGCAAGGGTATTCGAAGGGTCATATATTTTCCCACCCTGTTTCCAAGTCTTGCGCTGGTCAGCCCCATGTTCAGACAGGAGCATTGAATTTTCACACTACGTGGCCTCTGATTCAAACTCAGGGTCCTGGTTCTGTGCTCACTTACACTGATGTGAATTGGGAATGACTCCACTGAAATCAGTAGAGTAACTCCAGCATAAAACAGATACAAGTGAGAGGAGAATCAAACCTGCGATCTGAGTGTTCAGGTCTGTTGGAAACTGACCTAGTCATAGCAGGTTTCTACAAGAGAGCAGTAAGTGGGAAATCCCTTAGCTAGTATCTATCAAGCCTTGCATTGTAACTCTGAACACAAGAAGCATGGCTTGCCCAGCTTGGACACATCTCAACCGGAGACCCCACCTTCCTTAGCCAGGTATCTTTTGACATGTGCCAGTATGGGAAGGTAACTCCTTTCCCTCTTCCTTGGGGCTTTGGAATTTGCTGCGTTCAGCCCTAGGCAGCAAGGAGTAATACTGCTGCTTTTGTCAATTTCACTCCTATACAGTTCTAGACTGCTTGCTGGTGATTGCTTCTAAATTACTGAGCATTGGGGGCTAAGGGGGCGGGCAGGAAGAGTTGATGGGGAATAGAACTGTATTAAAACCTGGTACTCTGTGTGCCCTAAGCGGCTCAGTGCCCCGTCTCTCACTCTGTCTTCCTTTCCTACTAGACCCTGGATGGGCGCATAGTGGTGCGCAGCCACGCCCGAGTGTCCTCCCTGACGCTCAAGGACATTCAGTACACGGACGCTGGAGAATATGTGTGCACGGCCAGCAACACCATCGGGCAAGACTCCCAGGCCATGTACCTTGAAGTGCAATGTAAGTATGGGCAATGGGCTCTTGTCTGCAAAGGGGGCAGTAGTGATACCCTAAGGAGTGGCTCAGGTGGCCGCAGGACATGCTGTCCCAAGGCTGATGCCTGTTAGATGGCAGTGAGCCGTGTTCTGTTTCAACAAAGGTCATGGGAGTCAGCACAGTCCAGAATCAGTTTCTGGGGTGAAGAACCAGCCATATTGCCTTTTGGGAGGACAAATAAAGCAGGGTCAATAAACAGTTCTGTGTGCACAAATGCAGGGCCCTGGGTCCTCAGCTGGTGTAAATCAGCAGCACTCCAGTGCAGGTCCTTAGCTGCATCAGGTTACACCATCTGGTGACGTGGCCAAGGTCGTTGTGGGCCAGGTTTGTGCCTCCTGAAGGCAGAGCTAGGAAGCTAGTTCCTCCTCGGTCCTCTTGCGTTGGCTTGGTACAGCAGCTGCTGTTCAAACCTTCCCCCAACTCTGTTTTTGGCCTAACCGAGGCCTGGCAGGACTTGAGGAGCCCTCTGCTCAACATCCTCCACCCACGGTATCATCCCCTTTGGTAGAGCGTCCCCTGGTGCTGTCTGAGCAGCCAGAGGCCATGCGCCCATGGGTGAGTGGCAGGAGGCACATGCTGTCCACTGGACACATAATGCGCTGTCTGCTCAGCCTCACCCCCAGGAGTTTAGCATTCCCAGCTCTTGCCAGCCCCAACTCCTTTCCCCTGCTGAGGAGTGGAGGTCAGGACACCAGGCCTGGGAATCAGACCTGGATTTCCTGCGTGGTAGTACAGAACCCCAACTCTAGGCGGGGAGACTGGGCTGGTGCAGGGGGACATTTATGGCTCCAGTTGCCTCGAAAGATGCTGTCTTTGTTCCCAGATGCCCCCAAGCTGCAGGGCCCTGTGGCAGTCTACACCTGGGAGGGAAATCAAGTGAACATCACATGCGAGGTGTTTGCTTATCCCAGTGCTGTCATCTCCTGGTTCCGGGATGGACAGCTGCTACCAAGCTCCAACTACAGTAACATCAAGATCTACAACACCCCATCAGCCAGTTACCTGGAGGTGAGGAAAGGGGGCTCTCGGGGAGGGGATATGAATGTGCAGCCTTCATGGGTTATAGATTAATGTTTGTTTATGGCACCGAGAGCCCTGATGGGAGGTCTCCGTCACTGCATGTTATCTGTTGCTGCCCCGTCTATAAACAGGGAAGAAGCATTTCCAGCCTCTAGTGAGAAGAAGCTATGGGCTGGCCTGTGGCAGGAGCAGAGATGGCACACCGTGTGCCAGGAGACAGGACCATTCCAATCAAGGGCTGAAGAATGGATTGCTAGTTAGTGGTCAGAAGCGTGCTTGGCTGCAAACCAGTAAGAGGCACGTTCTGTGCCCTGAACAGGTTGCAGTCTAAATGTCGGACAAGAGAGGACACGAGAGAGCGACGTATTGTTGTAGGCAGGGCAAGGAATCAGGAGGAAGCACCCAAGTTACAAATGCCATGGGATTCTTGTTCATTTATTGTGTCTATCCTGGTAGTTCCCAAAGGATTCAATCAGGACTGAGGCCCCGTTACGTTGGGTGCTTCACAGAGCCCTAGGAAGACACAGTCCCTTGCTCTATATCTCGGGACGATATCGGGTGTCTCCACAGATGTACAGTCTCTCCCCCCTCACTGAGGTACATGTGTGTGTCGTGCTGTTGGATTAAAGGGGAGAGGGTGCAGGAGAGGAGGAGATAATGGGGCAGGAGGCTAAAGAGGCTCCTGTAAATTGAGCAGCCTGTGGAGCCTTGTCTTCAGCTTCTCACCCATCACCACAAGGCCCCTGGGCACCCTGCACTTGTCTCTGATGCGCTGATGCTCACCATCCATATTTTATGGTACCTTGATATCTCCTCTTTTAGTAAAACCCAGCGGGGGTTGGGGAAGTTGGGCTTTGAGATCTGGGCGCATCCTTAAACACCCCCCTCCCCATCCTTAAACATCCAGGTGACACCGGATTCCGAGAATGACTTTGGGAACTATAACTGCACCGCAGTGAATCGCATCGGCCAGGAGTCCTCTGAATTCATCCTTGTGCAAGCGGGTGAGTGTCCCACCCAGCCCCATGATCCATTGACAGGCAGAGGGCTGGCGGAATGCACAGGCAGTCATTGCACTGGTGTGATGAAGGGAAAGCGTTTCCCGACTCCAAGTGTCCCCCTTGAGGGGCATCAGAGCAGCCAGTTGTAGCTCGCAAGTTTAAAGGCGGTGTGGATCCCAGGAATTTGGTCTCCTGCCCCGTTTTCGGAGGCGGCTGCTTTTTGCCTGAGTAGGCCTTTATGTACCCTACCGTACCCACTGGTGCTGTGACAGAATCTTGCTCTTTGGCTTTTAAGAGCAGCACGGTGCATATGGGCTAGAGCTAGTGAACTCTCCTCCGTAAAACATCCTGCTGCCACACAGAAATCCCAAAGCAGCCCATGCCAGCTAGGCAGGCTTCTCCACCTGCCTGGGTAACCAAACAGGCTGGGAGGGGCTCCACTATCCTGAACTCGGAGTGCCCTCAATAATGAATTCACCCGGTTGCCATGGAAACAGTTAGGAATTATCCAGCTGTGCATTCAAACGTTCTGTGAGGAAGGCCCGAAGCAGCAGAATGGTCTCCAGGGTGCATGCATAGCCATGTGCAGGCTGCATTTATTCATCAGAGTAAATAAGTGACCCGGAGGGAAATGCTGCGAGTCTCTTGTCCCTGATGGGAGGGAGGAAATGAAAACTCCACAATTCACAGAGAACCTATTTGCCTCCTAAGAGTCCCTGTAGCAAGCTTGGGTGAGGATAGGGTCCTACCGGTGGGCCTAAGCACAAGGCAGAATGCAGGCAGACGTTTCTGGGATCGCCACAGACACCTTCTCTCCAAGGGCACAGGCTGTATGGACATTTGCTGCCTGCCCTCTCCACATCACTGCTTATTATTTCCCTTCCTCCCCCAGATACTCCGTCCTCTCCTTCCATTGACAGAGTGGAGCCTTACTCCAGCACTGCCCAGGTGGAGTTCGATGAGCCCGAGGCCACCGGTGGGGTGCCCATCCTCAAGTACAAGGCGGAATGGAGAGCACTGGGCGAGGAGGATTGGCATTCCAGGTGGTATGATGCCAAAGAAGGTAGGGTGCGAAAAAACATTGTCCCTCTTAGCATCTCAAGAGTCTCTTCTTGTTTTTGGAGTGTGACCGTTCCCCCCTCTAACTTCAGCATCCATTCTAGGCTCTTGGGGATTCCCGAAGTGGAATCCACCCCTTGGTCAGGTGGTGGTGGTATTCTAAAATCACTCCCACTGGTATGAAGTGTAAGCCTTCAAGCTACCCTGCTGTGTGCTCTGTTCCTGCCACTCAGCTGTACAGAGCCCCACTACTTACAGGATCAGAAAACAATAGTGTCAACAAAGACTCTAGACCTATTATTATTATGTATGTATTTTATTTGTAGTGCGGTATCACCTGGATTTCTCAATCAGGGATCAGTCCCCATTGTACTAGTTGCTGTTCACACGTGAAGAGACAGTCCCTGCCTCAGAGAGCTTGCAGTCTAAAGTAACTGTGATCTAAGCCACAGAAAGAGTATTGTGCTCACCTGACCTGTTCGTTTAAAGCCAAACCCAGTTGAGTTCCAGATCCAGTTTTCCCTGGATCAAAGGGTCATCAGGCTGGTTTGCAATAAGCTCATTTAAGAGGAAGGTACCACCGTGCTTCATAGGAAGGATGAATCTGGGCTGAGAGAGAGAGAGAGAGAGACTCATTAGACATAAAACAATCTATATACCTGGGGGTTTTTAAGGAGAAGCCTCCCTTTTAAGCATCGGCATGAACTATAGCTTTAATATTTTTAATGGACCTTCCAGGTCATCTGTCGGGGACATTCCATGGGCAGGCTCAGCACTAAAATATTGTTCATTCAAACACATTATTTGGGAAATAGGAATCACCACGGTCCAATTAACCCAGTGCCCCTTCCCTAACAGTGGCCAGTGCCAGTTGTTTCCGAGGAAAGTGTGGGAAACCCCATGGTGGGCGGATGTGGGGTAACCTGCATGCCTATGAAGGTCTCAACCTAATCTCTAATACCGAATAATCGGATTAAGACCTAAAGCATGAAGTTTAATATCCCTCCCAAAGTTTTTTGTTAGTGTTAACTATTATAGCGGGATATTCTTTTTCTCCATACAAATGTATAATCCCTTTTCAAATCTTGCACAGTTCTCGGCCTCAATGACATCCTGTAGCAGTGAATTCCACAGTCCAGTCACTTGTGAAAAAATATTTCCTTTATTCAGTTTTGAGTTTGCTATCTTTTAATTTAATTGAACATCTCCTTGTTCTTGTGTTGTGAAACAGGGAGAACAGAAGTTCCTTGTCTGTCCCGTCTAGACCAGTCATTATTTTATATAATTTTATCAAGTCCCCTCTTCTTCGTCTCCTTTCTAAGGTAAATAGTCCCAGTCCTTTCAGCCTCCAAGGCCCCCAGTCATTCTCATTGCCGTTCTCTGTACCCTCTCTAGTTCTGCAGTATCCTCAAGGCCCTTCATTTTCACTATTTATTTTGTTTAAAATTTCCCAGGAATTTAAGTGTTACTACAAAAAATTAAAAAATGGATGAAAATTAGTGCAAAAAAAATAGCGTTACGTTTTTCTGAGTCAATATCACATTTAATATTGGGGGACTGGAAAACAGAATAAAAGCAACTAATAGAGAAAAATAAAGTATTGAACATAAAAGCAGTTTAATGCTATGGTTTATTTAATGAACTGTATATTAACAATACGTACACATGTGGACGCACGTGTATATTTATCTGCCTCTGTATTGCCTTCCTTGAACACACAGCCTCACATTTACACTTAGACTAACTTATTAACAAACACGTCTTCCTAGCATAGTGTACTGCATTTTCTTTACATAATCAGTATTTTCATATATTTGGTCCAAAATTCAGCTGAAAATCAGTAAAAACTAAATAATACCTTTGTAAAACCTGGGACTTTTTCAGTGAAAAGTTAAAGAATCTTAAATACCCTGTTCAAGATGGGGTGACCAGCTCTGCACACAGGACCCAGATGAAGCTGCCCCATTAATCTGCATAATGGTTTCATTTATATATATTGGTTTGTATCTCCTGCCCAAGACACTCTGCGCAGCGCTGCCATAAACTGCAAAGAGCGACCAGCCAGCAGAATCCAAATTCCCTTCCCCCCAAGAGGTCTAACTCCCTTCAAATCCTACAGCATGGCGACTGTCTGTGCAAATCTATACACCTTATAGTGCCCCCGGAGTCCAGTAAACCAAGGCAGTTTGGCACTGATGGAGCTGGTGGAGGGAGAATCTTGTTCCAGAGGGTTCTACCACCCGTCCCATATGTATTATTATTTGTATTACCATAGCACTGTAGGGTCCTTGCCCCCCACAGGAATCGCATTGCCATAGCTAGAATCATGTTTGGTTTCTCCATTTCTTCCTTCCTTCCTTTCTGTGAAGTGGAAATATATTTTCTTTAGTTCAGACAATAAAAACCTCACTCAGTCCCCCCGCCCACCTCTCTTCTTAAGCTGTGTCTGAGCCTCGCGGCTTGATTCCTAAGGGAGGGTTGCAGCCTCTTCTCTTGCTGGAGGCTTGGCTCCCAGTCAGTTCGATAGGAGTCGAGCAGACAGAGAGCTGTACTGCTTCTCTCATCGATCGCCTGCGCCTCCGGGGTTTCTGCTTTGAAATTGTGCTGTGTCAGGAAGAAGGGAAATCTCTCCCCAAGGTGATGGCTCAGGGTCATGCAGAGGCTGTGGTATCTGGGGCAAGGCGAGGAATCCGAAATGATTCTTGTCAACCTTTGAGGTGGTTTAGGAGTTAGATGATATGTAAAACCTCTAGGCTGGCTGAATCTGCAAGAGCCTGTCGAGTACCACCAGCCTGCAAAGCGTAAACTGAGGGTCTCATGATACTGTAGACAAATGACCAATTGTTGTCTCGGCCCCAACTTCTAAAGAATCCAGCATGTGACAGTGTGCTCTGTGAGGTCTGGTTTCCCCTTGAGGCATTGCTTTTCCCTACTAGTTTGAATACTAAGTTGTATGATACAACAAAACACAGCCTAGACCCTACAACCAGAATCTTGGGAGGTTTGTAAGGGGAGTGAGACATTCTGCCTTGCATATGGCAAGCAATGGCCCACAAACAACATGAAGTACAAACCCTGAGTGCACATGGAACAGTGAGCCATTCAGGTGGAAAGCAGCAATTTTTCCCAGAGCTTTTCCATTGCCGGGATCCTCCCTTTGCTGGCTCGCCCATCCAGCACATCATGTTTATTCTTGACAAAGCAGCCTCCCCTGTGTATGTATGCTCCCCAGCATGCAGGAACAAAGCTCCTGTTCTCACTGCAGGGGCACATTCAGGTTCTTTCTCCGTGACTTGCACCGTTTACAAGCCCAGATGTCATACCTTGAGCTCTGCACATGGATGCAAGAGGGGCTAAAGGGGTAGATGGGAACACTTAGGAGCCTGGAGTGTGCCTGGCTCTTGGAAGCCAATGCCCTAGAGATGTCACATGCCCCCATGCTGTGCAGACCCCTTGTTCTGTCTGGGGGGAGAGCAGTGGCTTTATTCCACAGTGTGGGTAAATGTCATGTGAATGATTGTGCTGCCACATCTGCTTTCCCAGTCCCTCTGTCGCTTGCCTCGCTTTGGCTGCTGATGGACTGTCTCTGTGAAACGTTCGGGGAGCCTGGGCTTGGAAGCCACTCTCCAGCAGTTGACCAGCACTGGGCTCTGGGCACTCTGCAGCCACAGCCCCGCATTGGAGTTTGTAGGATCACTCCTTGGAGAGCCCCAGTGACAAGTGCAGCAGTTGCTCCCCTTGGTGCCTGCTCTGGACCTCACCTCATCCCATCTCCTTTGGAGAGGCCCAGCGGCAATGCTAGCCCTGCAGTCTTTGCACTAAACTATCCACAAAAGAGGGTGGCTTTGTTCCTGGGGCTTTTATGCAGGGCCAGGCACAGCCCACGCAACGTGTATGAACCTGACATTACAGAGTATGAAAATGGGCTTGTACTGACTGTCCATTCAAACCCCACTCTTCCCTTTCTCCCCCCGCCCTCTCTTTTCTGCAACAGCAAACATGGAGGGCATGATTACCATCATGGGCCTGAAGCCAGAGACGACCTATGCCATCAGACTGTCAGCCATCAACGGCAAGGGCCTGGGAGAGATCAGTGCAGTGTCTCAGTTCAAGACCCAGCCAGTTCGTAAGTAAACATCAACCCTTCCCCCCTCCCTTTGCCTCTTTGGTTTTCTCCCTGGCTTTCCCCAGGGGATCCCTGCTGTGTATGGGCAGTGCCTCTTTCTCTTGCAGGTCTCGGTGGACCCTTTGCAAGTCTGTTGAGCTTTTATGTTTTTGCCGGATTCCATCATGAATATTTTCCCTCTTCCAAGGGTGGGGTTTTGTATTGGGCCACACCCCCATGACTGCAACAAATGTTCTACTCTCCAGGAGACTTGGGCAGCAGGCAATCAGATGGCATTTTCATAATACAAGCAAGCAGCCCATTGAGAAGGGCTGGGTCTCCCAATTGAAGCGATAGGCTGTTTCCGTTGCTTGGGGGCTAGGGGAGGAATTGGGTGGGCGTCAGAGAAGCTGCCATGAGAATGAGTTTGAAACGGCAGGAGGGAGGGAAGGTTATTTCACTGCGCCGCTGTTTGCTCTGTTAAAATGTTCACCCGCCTTGCCCTGAATCATCTCCATCTGTCAGTGGGATGCGTCTCTGCAGCCTGGGGCCTCCCCTCCCCACCTCACTCATGAGCAAAAAGCCCTGGAGCCAAAATCAGGTTTGATTTTTGGAGGGGGGATGGAGTGCAAATTCTGCCAGCTGGGAAAGAGAGAAAATAATGACATTCCATGTGCATGAAGCAGCATACTGGAGCCAGAAGGGAAGAGCTGATGTTTGCTTTATATGGAGCCCCTCACTCTCTTATATCTGATCCCAGCCAAGGACTTAAGATCCTGGGGCAGCCCGAGTTGACTCCTTGTGCGTTCCTGCCACACTCCCGCATGGTGTTTGATGTGGTGTTCACCCCCTTCACAAGGGTGCGCCTGAACGTGTCCACATGCACCTCCCGCTCTCCTGACTCTGCTCAAGCTAACGACGCTTTGCAGGCGCTGTCATGGGTTCAGCGCTGTCTCCTCCATGATGCTCTAGCACACTGCCACTGATCATTCTGGAGCCCCTCAGAGTTTTGCACAGTCCCATAGGAAGCCACACTCCTGATCACCCTGGCTATCAAGCCCGCCAGCACTGAACAGTGCAGGTTGTACAGAATGGTGTAAGCATCGTGTTCCAAGAGAACCCAATCCCATATGACAAGCCAAATCCCGTATTACTTCTCACCTTGTTGCAGTAATCCCCTTGTCTGACCCCTCTCCATTGAGTACAGCACCTGTTGTTTTGAATTTCCAGCTCCATGGTCTCTATCGCCTCTCTTCATCTCTTTGACATTTTTGTTTTTGAGTGTATCTCTTTTCTTTTTGTCTGTGTTCCATCTATGGAAAACCGCAGGCATTCCTCATTCACGTAAGTGCCTCTCTGCATCTCTCTTTCTTTCTAGCCATCCCTGGAATGCTCCCCTAACATGCCATAGCTCTAGCATTTAATGTAGTTTTTTCTCCCTCTCCTTGTCCTGAGAAAAAAGTAGACGGTACTAGGCATCTCCTAATAACGTTGACCCTAGAGTAGCCATTCTGCTCTGCTTAATATGGCTCTCTGTTGAACTGAGCTCAGAGGCCTTTTCCCCGTTGTACAGCATGCAATATCAAAGATTTGTCACTTGCAAGGATTTTTTCTAAAGGTCAGGCACTGCTGGATCAGCAGTTGCGGAGTGGAGTAGCAGAATGTTTCTAGGTTAGCACTCATTAAAAATTTTCAAGTTTTCATGAACTTTAGACATTCAGAAAAACAAACAGCAAAGAGCTTCAACATTTAAGAAGATTTTTTTTGTTTTTCTGCCAACTCAGAAATTTTCAAAAATTCTGCATTTTTTTCAAAATTTGGAAGTAAAGGGGGAAAATTTTTGAGAAAATGTTCACAATTTCCCCCCTTCTTTTAACAAGCTCTATTCTTAGTAGCACTTACAGTCCTCCAGCAATTAAATGGATTGCAGCCACTTCCCCTTTAGTGCACAGACATATCTCCTTCTCCACCGGCAAAAATCCAAAATTAACTGAAGAAAATTAATGACGGATTTGATGTGTTTGTTTATTTAGAACACTTAGGTTTATAATCCAGGCTTAGTCAAAAAGTATTCATCACATATTCCATAGCTATTCCCGCCTTTCAGATTAACAGCATGGCAGTGAGGCAATGCCCCTTCAGCTGGGTGAGAATTGCAGAAGCAGCTGCTTGCTGTATTACGACATACCCCCTTCTGGTGAGCTGATCCTGTGGCCAAAATTATAGTGGCAGCCTTTACTGGGCTGTTACCACCATGTTTGTGTTCTCAGAAACCTGCCAGAAGATATTGCAGCTCCCGAAAAGTGTATCAGTAGATATAGACTGTGAAATTCTGGCTTCACTGAAGTTAAGAGATTGGCTGTTGACTTCAATAGGGCCAGGATTTTACCTATAGGATTCTTGAGCTATTGGTGGTGAAATACTGTGGTTCTATAGGAAATCAAAGTTTGGGTAGATCACTAGATAGATCAGTGGGTTGACTAACAGATAGCTAGATAGATATGTATAGAGGTGGTTGGATAGAATTTGAGATTGTACCAATTACAAATAGGATAAGGTCGATGGGAAGAAATGTCTTAACCTATTGTGATTCCTGGACATGTGTGCAGTATTCTGCCTACATTGTTTGGAACCTATACTTTTAGCAGAAGTAATTTATACCTCATATAAAGCTAATCACAGTTAGTATTGTAGCCATCTAGCAATTGGTTTGGCAGCGTGTTCTGAATTGGACAACAGCAGTGATATGCTGGGGAGATAATGACACAGGCACTCAGATCTATAATGATGAATGCCATAAAGAGAGGGGGGAAAAGGACTGAATTATGCAGCAAAAAAGGATATCAAAAGCCATGCTCACAGCCATAGCTCCAGATATGCCTGCCAAGCCACATGCACATCATCCGGTAACAATTCTATGGCTCTTACAACAGCAGAGTTAAATCACACCTGTAATATGGCATTTTTCACTGTGTTTTAAAGTATGGAGCCGTCATCTAGAATTTGGTTTTCTGGACCAAAATGTATCTTCTCTTGTTTGATGGGACAGAGCTGCAGGTGCCCTGGCATGTCAGCTGATACAGGCTGAGACGTACTCCGGCTCATGGAGTTTTCACAGCTTAATCTGGACAAATGCACCACCTACCTCTTGCAATGTGATTGTTGGAGCAGATGAAACTAGAGGAGATGGTGATGGGAGACCTGGCGTGAGGAGGAGATGTAAAATGATGCGTGGAGGTTGTTCCATGTGGGGGAATAGCATGAAAGAAGGAGCAAAGCACAGAGTGATGAGAAAGGGGGATAAGTTATGTCAGAGGCTTGGTCAAGACAGCTGTCGGGTTCTCCTGTAGGTCATTGTAGAAACACTCATGGAAATGATGATGGATGACCACAGAGACTCGCTGTGGTGCAACTTCATAGAGCATAGGTAAGGCAGGCTGGACACAGGGATCTGTCCTGTGATTATGTAGACAGGATGGCTGGAATCTGTTGTGGGGATCGAGCACCTGAAAGTGCACAAAATCTAACCAGAATAGTGATTTAACACGCTCTAACGTTAGGGTCCAACTCTGCCACCTTGATGGTGAGCAGCATGTACTCACACAGGCCACCCCACTGTGTCCATGCGACCATTCTGGGTAAGCACCAGATGCCACTTGAATCAGGTGGCAGAATCAGGCCCCTGATAAGGAATGCAGATCAGGCTGTGAAGGGCCCAGTGCCTCTAGGGAGCTGAGGAAGTTAGAGCAGACATTGGACAAGCTCGCTTAGAAGAAGAGCTCTGAGGGATTGGAGCATCATTATTGCAGTACTGTTTCCTTTTCACTCTCTTTTCCTACCTGCTCCCATCCCCTGCTCTGCCATCCCACCTTGCTCTGAATCAGGCTCAGAGTTGCCCTCCTGGTTTTCAAGACGTATCACGGCCTTGCCTCAGCCAGCTTCTCCTGCCTCTGAACAGCTCCTTCCATCTCAGCCTCCTCCCTGACACATCTCCCTTGACAGTGGCACTCCACTCACTAGCACCACCCTATCTGTCCGAAGCCCTGTCTCTGCCTCTTATACTCCTCCATCTTTCAATCTCTCTTTGCAACTTTCCTTTCGTTTCCTCCAGCTTACAAGAGAGACTGATGTTCTCTGTGAATGTGTGCGTGAAGGCGGCTCCATAAGAATACACCATATTGTATTACCTCAGGGGCGTTTGAATTGGTTTTATTTGTTCATGCAACTGATGGAAGATCAGACCAGGAAAGACCCTCTGGGATTTCACAGTCTCCCAGCAGGGTGGTTTTGGGAAGGAATTTCACACCAGCTTTGCTCTTCTAAATTATTTGGGAATATTGTGGCAAAGGGAAGCCAAGGGAATGCTGTGGGATGTATGTGATGCACTGAGGTTCCTTGGAAAACAGGGCACAGTGCTGCCTCTTCTGGTCTTGGGCTGGGGACTCAGCATTGTAGAAGGAGTAGCAGAAAGTACAATCTCATGCTTTTACTCGTGCTGCATAGGACTTTGTTCCATGAGTAGTCTTCATCAGCCTTGAACATGCTAATATAAACACATAGCATGGGGTACCTAAAATATTTAATTACACCATTTTTTGAAAACTCCACACAATTTCCCCTGGTGACAGGAAATGAGAAAAATAGAACCACACCTGAGAGATGCTAGTCACAGTGAGTAAAATTTTCAGAAATGCCTACGTGACCATTGTTGTAGCCTTGTTGATCCCGGGATATTAGAGAGACAGGGTGGGTGAGGGAATATCTTTTTGTTGAATCAACGTCTGTTGGTGAGAGAAACACCCGATGAAGAGCTGTGTAAGCTCGAAAGCTTGTGTCTCTCACCAGCAGAAGCTGTTGATCAGTGAAGGAGAGCTGCATAAGAACTTAAAAAGACTAGGACAGAATAGTCCTGACATCAGTGGAACCACTTGTGGAGTAAAGATGGTCTTCCACATGGGTAAAGATATCAGAATCTGGCCCTCAGTAGGAAGGCAGGAAGCAATGGCTACTTATCATGCAGCAGTTTTTCAAACAGAAAGTGAGTCCTGCAAAAAGAATTCTGTAAGCACCCTAGCACTTATTTTTGTAGAGCATTGTGTAACTGATTTGTATGATGATACTGACATAAGATTTTCAGGTTTGCATAGGTTTCTTAAATTTAAAGCAGATAACGAAGAATGTTTTACTCCTGACAAATACATTATATTCTGTCTCTCAATCCTGATAAATAAGTTAATTCAAGTTAAAGATCACCAGTTTCTGGACAGTTCTTACATTGCTACTCAGCGGGAAGAGGAACAGAAAATGTTCTGGTTAAGCCCAGTTCCGTTTCAATATCTGCCGTTCTGCAGATGCCCCCGGAATAGTAGCCAATGCTCTTAGTCCCAAGTGCCCCTTTTGCCATTTAGATAAGTTTGCAGAAGCAAAGATAGAATGCTTCAAATCATCAACATCATCATCTTGGTTTATTCTTTGAAAGCCACTGAAAACGTAATTGATGCGAAACTTAGAGCATATTTTTAAACTCCAGGAGCAAACATGTTTATAGAATAACAAAACATGTTTAAGTTTGTCACTATTTTGTCCTGAGGTTATGAAAATATTTTGGTGGTGACACCTCTCCAAATGTGCTGCAGTGAGTCAGCCAGCCCTAGTTAAGAAGTGAGACGGTAGCACTTTTAAACGGCTTGTGGTTTGAGGGGCAGCGTAGCAATAATGTTGATGTCCTCAACCATGTCTTAAACGGATGAGTTTAATGAATTAAAGAAGAAAACAAACCACTTTTAGCTGATTGGTGCGGCTGGGTCATATGAAGAACTTCCAGCCAAGAGCAAGCTTATGAGCCGTGCAGCTATGTGGGCCTGATGAGCAGAGAGCTATCTCAAGGAGAGGCTTTGCGCCTATAATACAACATTTTTGACAGCTTAGACCACCACTGATATTCTAAGAACTTTTTCGAGAGGAGGCACCATAATGTTACATGAATACACCCCCTAAGAAGAGCCAGTGAACAGAGAGGACAGGTGCAGATTATTACATGCAGATGCCACCCTGACTCCCTTGGCGACTAACACCATCACACTCCAGGTGGGAAATCTCATAAAACACCAGTAGCCTATGGGCATTCTTGACCAGGTTGCAAAGAGCATCAGGATTACTAAAACATACAGAGCAAAGCTGTTTACTGTAGTCAATTCCAACCTATTCAAAAAGATTGATCCCCCAATTCATGGACATCAGTGAGATTGAGGACTGTCCAAGGTGTTCAAGCCTCCAAGCTATCACTACGCCAGCCTTTTTTCATTAATCTAATGTATACTTCTTGAACTCGGAGTGAGAGCTGCAGCTCTGTATGCGATAGAGCTGAAGTCACTGGTCAGATCCCTTACGGGACAATCCGGTGAGCTATGGAATTTTCAAGGAATCAAATGTGAGCTTGGCCAGTGGACGCTATCCAAAATTCTGTTTGACACCGCTGGGCCCAGTGGGTTAGAAGCTCCCATCTTGGCGCTAATGCACTCTGTATTAACACATCACATCAGGAAAATCTGGTTCTTGTGCCTTAGAATAAAGGGGGACATGCTGGTAAATGGGACATGTTGTTAGCCAGACAGGTGTCTGCTGTGTGAACTTTGCATTAATACATTAAAGTAGTAGAGTATTAACAGGGCATGTAAGAACAAAGCTGGCCAAGGCCAAATGCCTAAAATTGAAAGTATTTGGCCACCAAATTAGGTGCATTCTGTTACAGAAAGCATCAGTGATCAGAACCTGTACTGTGATACCATTAACCAACAAGCCCCCTCCCCCCCTGCGATCCCTGAAACTATCTAAACACAGCAAACAATTTCCACTTTTTTTAAAAGGATCTGCTATCGAAATGTTGCCAGATGGAAAACAGACAATCTGCTTGATTAAGAAGATACTGATTGCAGTTTGGAGAGAGTAAGGGGAATAAAGATTGGAGAGCCAGTATTGTTAAGATTTGTCACTAAATCTTTCCTCAGTGATTGAGTTGATAACCTTTAGAATTTAATTGCTTGAATGTTACTTCTTAATTTGCTGCATCGCTGGGGAGCGAGAAAGAGAAAATCGATAGTCATGGAAAACCCCTGAAACAGAAAGCTTTTGCTTTTCTATGACTAATTATATATTATACTTACTATACATTTTGGAAATTAAAAAGAATAACTATTACTGTGTTTACATGCAGAGAAATCTGTGTGAACTGTAATCTCATGGTTTGTTGAACTAAATCCATCAGGAATAAACGTGGAAGGTCTCATATGGGTGGATTTAGCATACCATTTGAGGAGTAGAGTCTAGTCTGACATGGGGGCCACAGCATGATTTCTTTCTTTCTTTCAAGGGACTTTATGGACAGGAATGCTGGAGTTGCATTTTAGTACCAGCCAAAACTCTGTTTTCTTGCTTAGAATTTCTGTTTGAATGTCAAAGGGATGCGGTTTTGTAATGGCTGGTGTTGTGATGATTGTGTGGGGTGTTTGTTTTTTTCACTAATCACCAGAATAAAGCAGTTTCTCCCTAACCTTGAGGAACATGGGCCCCCAGATCATTGATAATGTAACAGTGCACACACACATTATGGTGCTGGAAGGATGTCTCTGGTTTGGTGTGTTGGTTGTACACCCTTGAGCACCCCGGACTCATTTTTAGCAGCATCCCTCATAACTGTTTGAAAACAAACCTGAGCTGCGTACTTGCCTCACACGTGCTGCTTCAGTTCAAGGCCCTCGGGCGTCTTGCTGCAGTGCCGGTGGGGCTCAAAGGGGAACTAAAATGCATTTGTTTATGCCTTAATTTAAAAGAACAACATTTCAATGATCCCTGACCCGTAAAAGGATGAAAGATTACAAGTAAATCCAGTTTAAGACAAAATAAAGGATGACACTAGTTTTCACTACTCTGTATCTGCAAAGACCCGAGTTCAGGATTCTGCTTACCTTATAACACTTGGTCACATCCCTAATCCTTAAACCAGTGGAAGGGGACACATGTCTCTGTCCTGCTTTGTCTCCTATCAATGGAATTGACCGTTGCCGGCGTTTACAGGGGCCACATTCTGCTCTCACTTCCATGAGGCCTGATGCATTGGCCATTATCTCCATTGCAATCCATGGCCATTGGTTTGGGCTCATGGCATACAGCTGGAGCAACTTAGTCAGGTAAGTGGTGTTCAGTGGAGATGCACTGGGGAGAAATTAGTTTACGTTAGAAGAACACAGGCCTTGCAAGATACAGAGCCTGTCTGTTTCCCTGTAACAGAAGGCAGCTTTGTCTTTCATTCTCCTCTCCGTATGCACAGGCTTGTCAAAAAGTCCTTATCCCAAAGGGATCCTGCCATTTCACTCTTTCCTGTTTTCCTTCCTTTGGCTGCATTTAACAAGAATTTCTTCCCCCTTTCACATTCCTTTCTCTTTCTTTAGCATCTACTGTTGCCCCGCCCGCCCATTTCACAGACAGTGAGTATGACGGGAGCCTTGGCTTTGCTCTGCTGTGCTCTGCATGTGTCTCATCACCAGCTGTGGTGCAATCTGCCTAACATCGTTTCTTTTACATGGGCGAAGACTAAACCCTCTCAGTAAAGAGACTGCGGATAGCACAAGCTGAATTCCTAAGCAGTAGACAGGAAGGCAAATGGGTACTAAACGTTCCAGCCAGATGGAGGAAGAGAAGTCAATAGAAAGATGTAGAGTGAAGTCATTGGGAGTTTTGCCATGGACTTCAGTGGGACCTTTCGCCCCTAGCATTTTGCATTCCATTCCCATTTTGTGGGGGTAGCCTGCTGGTGTGGTCAAAGGGTAGTTTCCTGAGCTCATTTTGGCAAAATAGATAGCGAGAGAGGTTAGCTTCTTAGCCAAAAAAGGGAAATACTGAAATGATCAACAGATAATGGCTTGTCTCTCCCTAAGTCTACTGCTAAGTTGCCTCCTTGGGCTGCGGAAGGAAATAATTTCTTTCTATCCTGTTTGATCCTCTTAAATCTGCATCATCAGATTTAGGCTGCAACTCACACAGGGGTCTCTCCCATCTCATTCATGGCTCAGGTCAGCAAGACTGATGCCAGCATGAGAAAGGAGGAGGAATTAAATTCAGGCTTAGCTGCCTACACACCAGCCTGCAGCACTAGCTCTGGTGCCCCATGGGGAAGACTATCAGCTCCTCTATTTTTTTTTAAAAAATAAGGATGTTACTTGGTGTTATAAAAAAAAAAAATCCCTCCCAACTGTGGGTCATGCTGTGGCCCCTCTGGCATTTGGAAACGGAGACTTGTTTTGCTCTGGCTCCACTGTTCCTACCAATCCATGCAGGAGTGATGCTGGCATTTGCGCTCGTGCGGTCTGCCTTTCCTCTCTGGTGTGGAGTGATGAGGGCTGTCATAACATTTGTAAGGGGCTTTGAATCTGTCACTCCTCAAAGATGCGATACTTTATTGCTTCCTCTAAGGCCGTTCTTTTTTTTTTTTTTTTTCTGGAGCGTGAAAGTGAACTCTGCCTGTGGGACCTCACCTCTTTCGATTCTGCCTCAGGTTGTGGCCATTGTTTGGAAGAAAGAAAGGGGAAGGGTACGAACACGCAGCACAGAGGAGTTTAAAGGCGCCTGGAGGTTGTAACACAAACAGCAGAAGGCAGGCCATGGTCCGTTAGAGCTGAGCTGGTCCATGTAGCTCTGCCTTGTGGCCCACTGCTGCTTGCCATATGTGTGGCAATACTTAGGTACAGTAGGGAGGTAAAATTGGAGGTTTACCTGCTGCTGCTTTGCCACTGTCACAGTGCAAAAGTGGAGTTTCAAGCCCTGAAAGTCAGCCTGAGGTCATTGTGATGCTCCTGAACTCACTAGCACAGGCATTGTTGAGACCAGGAGCTCAGCGGGAGTCCATAAGGGACCGGGCCGAGAACACCCAGTCACACTGGATGGGACAACAAATATAGAAGGGATAGAAAGTCTTTTCTTTGGGGCAAGTGGAGGTGAGGAAGAACCATCTCGGAGGAGCAGGCTATCTCCTAATTGTCCACTGCGGGGTCTTTTTGCACCTTCCTCTGAAGCAGCAGATATTGGCCAATGTCAGAGACGGCATCCTGCATCGGCAATTCCGATGTTGGTTTAGCCAGAGCCGAGTTTAGGGTGAACATGGGCCGGGTATCCGAGAATCCCAGAGGATTATTGTTTTAGGTAGAAACCATGTGAAATGGCAGCAGCTTGGTCTGGCTCCTCTGAGATTTGGTTCAGGCTCAGAACTCTGGGGATACAAGCATCCCTGGAAATAAAGCCGTTGCGAAGGTCTGCGGGAGCCCCTGCCATCGCTGAGAAACACACAGCTGCAGTCACCGCTTCTGAAAACAGGGAAGAGCCCCTTGTTTGTCTGTGGAATTCAGATGGTGCAGGGGGAGTGGGGGTGGGGAATCCTAGCACGATGCAACTTGCATAGAAACCTTTATCTAATATTTATAAATGTGGGGCATGGATCGTGTGCACCCCTGACTGTCTCCTCCTCATTAGGCTTCATTTCTCCTTATCTCCCTCTTCTTCCCCACCCCCTCTAATTTTTATTTTCATGCTAGGCTTCACCTTTACATGTCTTGTCCTATCCTTCGTGTTTCCATAGCAACCCTGCCTCCTACCAGATCCGAAAGCACAGAGCAGATGAGTGAGTAGACGGGAACTGCTCCCCCTTGGTCCTGAGTGTTGGTTGTTACAGTGTAGATCTTCCGTCATCAGCAATCAAAACACATGCCTTGTTATTTTGGTGTCTTTTAAGGCTTAAGCAACAATCTGGTATTAATGGATGTGTGAGCATGCGGGTGATAAGGCCCCAGCATGTTTCCCCCTCGCCCCCCCGCCTCCACTCCCCCATCCCAAGCATTTGTTGGAAATTGCAAACACAGAGTTTACTAGAAACACAGGGATTTTTAAGTATCAGGGGGTAGCCGTGTTAGTCTGTATCTACAAAAACAACAAGGAGTCTGGTGGCACCTTAAAGACTAACAGATTTATTTGGGCATAAGATGCATCTGAAGAAGTGAGGTTTTTACCCACTTTAAGGTGCCACCAGACTCCTTGTTTTTACAGGGATTTTTAGTTTTTAAAAATCAAACTGTGTAAACTGACATTTAATGAACACTTCCACTCACTCCCCAAAGGATCATTTTCCGTCAAGCATTTTTTGGAGAGGGTTTGAGGGGAATCCAGTCAAAACTGAAGTGGTGGTGGTGGTGGTGATGAAGATGAGAATGAAGAGGAAGATTCAGGAAGCTGCGTACCGTCACGCCCCTTGGTGGTTTTCCCTGCACAGAAGTCATTGGCTAGACCCAGAACAGCACAAGGCCCAAAGACCAGGAGACACTGTCAGCAGGGGAAGGACTGTTTGCAAATAGAACAACAGGGAGGCAGCTCATGGAATGATTTTTCTCACCATCTATCCTGCATTGGAATGGTGAAGGAAGCGCAGGGAGGTAGGAGCACTTCCTCAGCAGGAGGGCTGAGATTCTCCCGATGGATCAGTCTGGATACTTGCATGACCCTCATCACCCTGGTATCCAAGCACCTCCAAATCATTCATGGATTTGATCCTACAAGAGGGGAATACTGTCCCCATTTTACACATAGGGGAATTGAGGCACAAGCTTGAATAAACCCCTGCCAGAAGATGTGTGTGTAGCTGAGCTGGAAATCAAGCCCAGGTTTCCTGAATTCTAGTTCAGTGCCCTGTCCACTAGACTGCTCTTCCTCATGGGCCTAGATACTACAATGACAAACCTCAGCAGAATAACAAAAAGAGCTAAAAAGCACAACGGCATTAGTTGATTTGTAGACAGAAAACAAACAGTTTTACTGCACAGTGTCCGGCAGAAGGGTAAGCAACACACAGGCCACTTCACTGAACAGGGCTGTCCGATGCATTTTGCACAACCTGTGTCTTCGGGAGCTTTGTAGCATTTCACATTCCATACCAATCCAGGCAAATATTTGCAATACAATCCTGGGAGATGGACAAGGTGATTGAGCAAAACATAGCTATATACTCTGCAAACACTGAATTCTCAGGCAGATGTGTGCTAGCTTGCTTTGGTTTTCAGTAACACTGTGTGTGTGTGTGTGTTCGCCTGAGATGAAGCCATGTTTATTTGCAGTGGGTTGGAAGCCATGAAGCAGATATACTAAAAGCATGAAACACATGTCTTTTTTAGGGGAGGTTGGGAGGATGTTCAGTCCAAAGCTGCGAGAAGAGAAAAAAACATGCAGTGTTATCACCAGCCCTGTCTTTGGTCTTGCATCTAGCATGAAATCGCCTTTTATCTGCCAGTGAACACAGTTAACAGTTTCTTCCTCTCAGTATCTTTCTCGTGTGTGTAATGTGCAGAATTCTAATTCCTAATGCTTTTAAAGTGGGAGCTGCTCCATTTTGCAGAAGAGTATTTTTTATTCCGCTCACACCGTTTCCCTGGTTTTTCTTTTTTTGGAGGGGCAATAAGTAGTGCTACTAATGCAGTTTTTTTTTTCTTGCAAGAAGCAAGGGTTGATTGCAGCCCTTTCCCTAATTTCTGGACTCAGATGCAGTTAGGAGATAGAATTTCCTGTCAGAAATGCAAAATCTTTTAGTGTTGCTTAATAGGAACATGGCTTGTTTCACATGAAAGATACAAAATGTTAGTTTGTGTCAAACATTTTTCATCCCCAAAAATTAAAAATATATAGATAAAGCCTCTGTTTTTTACCGTGAATGGGAGTTCAACTTTTTAGATATTTGCAGAATCCTGCCTCTTACTGCCTCGTTGTCATTAGTTTATTCAGTACATTTATGTAAATAGCAGAGGTGTTCACTTCCGTGCTAAGCTGTTTTACAGCATGTTAATGCGCTGTATTCAAAGACCAAAAAAAACCCCACCTTGGCAACAGCTAGCTATTCCAGAGGCTTGGCATCATTTTATTACTGTTAATGCTGGTACAGCAGCTCAAGTATTGCCCTAATGTTTTTTCAAACAGAGACTGGGTGAAATTAAAGGCCAACCAATTATGAGAATAGCTACTTAACACTTCTAGTCCTAAAGGCAGAACAGAAAACGAAGAGGGGGCCTTATCCAAAGCCCCCCGAAGTCCCTTTGCTGTTGACTACAATGGACTTCGGATGAGGCCAAATGTTTTGGAGTTTGTTTTTTGCAGGATATGTAGCATATGGGAGCAGATTTTCAAAATCACCTAAGGGATTTAGGAGCATGTCTCCACTGACTTACAATGAGACTTGGACTTTAATTCCTTTGGGCATATTGAAAATCTGCCCAGTAGCGTTTCATCACAATCACCTGCAATCCATAGGAATAATGGGGTGAGATCAATGGGAATCTGGAACTTCCCTACAACTGTGGAATTCCCTTCTAGAAGAACTGAGAATGACTGCTAAGCTTGCCACCTTCAGGCTGCAATGCAAGACCCAGGAATGTGCCATAATAACACACATACATGAGATAATGAGGGCTGAAGACCCCATGATTGAAAATACTTTCCCCTTTGGGTGGTCAGTCTGCTTTGCTCCATTCTGTGTGATGCAGACATGGCCATAGCAACCCATGTATCCATGACTTCCAGATTCTCACTACATACTCTACCTGGAAATGAAAGATCAGACTCCAAAAGAATTCCATCTGGTGCAGAACACACAGCCGTGGCTGGAGCAACCATCCAGTGCTCTGATCACCTGGTTGGCTGCCCACCAAGTACATGATAAAGGTCAAGGTTCTAGTCTTGGGGTAAAATTTTCCGAAACGCCTAAGTGACGTGGGATCCTAAGTCCCCTTGGCTTTCAATAAGAATTAGCTTCCTAAGACTTCCAGGCACTTTTTAAAATTTTATCCTCGAATATAGTTCTCACTAGGTAGGTTGTGGTCTGATCTCTAAGGCTGCTTCTCCTGTCCATGACCAAAACCATCCACAATAATTGTAGTGCAAAAGAATAATAAGGTGAGACGATAGGGAATTCGGAAACAGACCCTCCTCAGCAGCTGTCCTACAGCCATAGAACTCCCTCCCAGAAGAACCAGCAGTGACCTTCATGAAATGCAGGACCGGTGAATTTGTCACAATTAATACAAATTTGTAAGCAAAACCTCTGCTTTCAGAAGGCAGGAAGAGGAGTGTATTTGTAGTCTGCCCACTTGGATTTCTGTAATTGTGAGCATGGCATAATTACATAGAATTTTTATAATCTTTTTCTATGTTTTCTAACCATTGCTTCTTGCCCAAGTGGTAACATGTCCTATCTTGCCAGGTAATAGCATCAAGAAAATTAATGGCTTGATTCTCAGTTATACTAAGGCTACAGTGCAGAGTGTAGAGTAGCTTTCATGTGATTGGGAATCATTGCCCAAAGTATAATCAAAGACAGGTAAACACTTTAGTGCAGACAATAAAGTTTAAAGGGGACAGTAATTTGGGCAGAGGAGAACCAAGAATAGGTGCAGTGGCCTCCAGTCCTCCTGTCCTGCATTCCCTCCCTTCACAATCTGTTCACGTTCCCTTCTCTATTTAGCAATGTCCATGTCTTCCTTGTGCCATACCTGTCATTAACTTTCAGTGCCAATCAATTCTGCCCTCGCCTCACTCATGAACTGCCCCCATGTCACATTATCACTGGGATTTTTTCGATATGATTTGTTTGATCTATTTCTGAGACTTTAGGCTGGTTTAGTTAGATACAGCTTATGTACTTTCAGAGCTGATTGCTGGACTTAGCAAGTCGTGGTTGCATTTTAGTGATTAGCAACTTCAGCCTCAGTAATAAATGAATGGATTTTTTTCTCTTATTATTAAGAAAGATTTTTCTTCCTACAGAAATTGAGGCTCAATTGATACGAGATGCTAAGGTCCATCCTTGCTAGACCATTGGCGATGACTGTTTCTCTGTCTCCTCTTGTGCCTGGGTTGTTACTGAATAACATGTCTTTCCTTTTTCTTTTCAACAGTCTTGTGGATTCCTTCTGCTGTCCAAGTTCGGGGACAACGGTCCTTCACTTCAATAATGTTTATTCGCTCCCTGACTTGGTATTAATAAGCAGTGATGCAGCTGTGCCTAACACTTACTGGTGTCATAACTCAGTGCTTTCTCTGGTTTAATATTCTTATATTTCCAGGCAATTTTACTGTCTCCCCAATGTTTCTTATATATACTGGCTAATTTTAATTTTGTTTATATTTTATTTAGTCTGTAATTCTGTTGTTGATTTTTTCCCTTGCCCATTGTTTACATCAGTTTTTTAATTTTTTGTATTTTCCATGTGACCTCCTCCACTTTCCTTTCAACCAATCATGTGCGTGCGTATCATGTGACTTTGTCATGTGGCTTGCATGGTGCTGATGATGTCGTCCACGCTGGTGAACAGAAGGTAAAAAACTTTGTTCTGATTGGTTGACTAGATCTCGGGGGAATTAAACCCCCCTCCCCCAGCAATTAGGGACCTCTAAATTCCATTGCTCAAAATTTCTTCTGTAAACTTTTTGGAGAGATTGCTCACCACCTGTTATCTGCATGTGAAGAACTAAAAGCCAACCATCTGCCCTGAGCTAGAAAGATAGCTTTCTATGCAGAAAACCTATGGCTTAATCTTTTGATTCATTCAGTGTGAGAACACAACAGAATCAGCTTCTCTGGGAACACAGTAACCTTTGGAACCACACTTTGGGTGTGAAATCCTAGCCCTATTGAAGTCAGTGGCAAAACTCGGATTGTTTTCAGTGGGGACGGGATTTTGTCCTCTAAGTTTTACTTAACACTTGTATGAAAATATGGGCCAGATCCTCAGCTAGTGTACAGCAACATATTTCATATGGCTGTTACAACATTTTGTTGACCTTTTCTTTGCAAATACAATTCTGATAATGATTTTCTTTAGATGGCACTCATTTTTTTTAGACTATGAAAAGGCAGAAAATAAAAAAGCCGATGAAAACCCCCCAAAAGCTAATTTATAAACATAAACATTTATAAACATAAAACAAAACTTTCTCTTATCATGAGAAAAGCATAAATGTGGCAAGAATGGAAACTGTTTTTAAAAACCTATTTATGTATATTAATACACACACACACACTACATAATCAGTGCCCAAGCTTTAAATTTTTTACATCGGAAGTAATGCCATTGAAGCTATATTTTGCTGGTCATCACCTGCCAAAGTACTGTATCCTTCCTACATATTATCTGTCCCAGTCAGGAAAGGGAATTAATCCGGATCAGAAGTCATTTAACAATTACAGCAACTGGTGGTCTCCAGGAAATCAGGAAGCAAACGATTGATCCTTGCAGTTAAGGAGATAAAATTACTTCTAATTAAAGCTCATGGCAGCCAGAAAATAAATAATTTAATATTGTGATTGTTGCAACCTCACTTAACACTCCATGCACACTATAAAGAGAGGGGGAAACCCCTGCTTTTCTGCTTCCCTGGGTAAGGCAAACAAATTGTTTGGAAACTCACAAAGCAATTGGCTTTTTACCCATTAACTCTAAATCACCTTATTGTTTTGGAACATTGTCAGGAAAGCATTTGGGCTGGGGTTTTACTAGGAAACAAAACTAACACCAATAACCTTACCACATGCATGGAAGCAGTCCCTTCCTTTCCCCCAGTGCCCCAAGCCCCTCATCCTGCTCTGAAAACTGATTGGGCGACATCCATGAGGAATGAAGACCTGGCTGTCTCGTTTTGCATGTCCTTTTGTTCTTGTTTTGTTTTTCGTTTGCTTCTCTTGTGTGCGTTATGAAGCCTTCTTCCTATTCTCTTTCTCTCAACCCTAGTGTATTTACCACTTCTGATGCCTTTGATTGTGTAGATGTGGCTGCTCTGTGTTTCAAATTGTGGCAGCCTTTGTCACAATTTAGTCCCATTTACCTGGTGGCGCAGGGGTAAGGAAGTGAGCTGCTCCTTTGATCACATTTTGCAAAAAAATGAAAGCGATAACCAGACTATAATTGTGTGTGCTGAGAAATAAAGATGCTGGATCTCGCATTAGTGCCAGATGGCCAAGTATTTTGACTGCGGATACTGGGTGTCTCAATTTTCAGGTGCCCAATTAGAGCTGTTTTAAAGGGCCTGGCTCTTCAGAGGGCCGGTATTCAGCACTTTCTGAAAATCAGACCCATTTTAGCCATTTAAGATAGAGCGCTGGGCTGGGACTCAGGAGATCTGTGTTCTGTTCCTACTCTGCCAGTGGCCAGCTGTATGACCTTGGGTAAGTCATGTCACCGCCATGTGCCTCAGTTTCCCCATCCCAATAAAAAGGGGGAAATTATAATTACCTCCCTTTTTAAAGCGCTTAGAAATCTACTGATGAAAAATGCTATATAAGAGGTAGGGATTATTTACAATGTCCCAAAGTCACTGGCCTTTTCTGAAAATCCTGACCACGTGGCTCCAGCGTGAGATCAAGGGAAGTATTTGATTTAAAAAAAACAAAAAAAAAAGGCAGCCTATTTAACATAGATACTAGGAAGCATTTTTGCAGTTTGTGGGATTCACTGCAGCAGGATATTACTGACACTAATGATTTAGGAAGTATCAAAAAAGAATTCAAGAACGACATAACTAGAAATGATCTGCCCTACACTAGCTGCATATAAAAGCTAAGACCGAACCTTTATGCTTCATAATGGTGCAAATGATCAGCATCTTGGGACAGTCAAAAATGTCCCCTTCTCACATGTACAGCCCTGTTGAGTTCGCCAGATGCATTATGAAACATTAGGTGTGGGCCACTGTGGAAGTGGTAAACCAGTGTGGCTACAGCAATGCCCTGTTTTGAGATGCTGGTGCCTGGAGTAAGAAAGGCAGCTGATTCACTTTAGATGTGAATGCTTTTTTGCCATTCTTAGCAGAGCCAAGCATTGTTTTTTCTCCTTCCCAAAGTTACGGATCTGGACGCTGGAAGAAGTAGTGCAGTGGGGCTTACAGGGATGCCCTAGATGCCCAGACTATGAAGTAGTTTACTCTTAACCTGTCGTGTCGTGCAGTGGCAGGATGAAATGCTGGGAAGAGCCTTGCTGGTCACAGTGTATTAGGTGACTTGCAAACTGCTAGGCTCACCCAGAGCTACTCAAGCTCTTCTCACATTCAACTCAGGAGAGAGCGATCAGCTGGAAATAGGACAAGCCCTGAGAAAGAGAACAAGCATCGCATCACACCCCGTCTGCAGCTATTAATTCGTCCTCGCAGTTAAAGCATTTCGGGGCTTACTTCTAGTTCCACTTCCTGGAGCAGACACCTGGGGGGCAAATGCAGACCTGGGATAAGCCTGCCTCCAGTGATCGGCAGAGTAGCTGAAACTGCTTTTAGACCCATATGTTTTACATATCTGGGTGAAATCCACCCCTTTTTTATGGGGAATTAAGCACATGGGTCTTGGAAATTACCCACTGTAACGTGTGCAACCCCGATTTGCATGGCTAGTACTCTAGCCTCTGGGCTGAAATAAAGGCTGCTGTCCCCTTGTGTGTCCTCTGGAGCTATTGAATCTATATGGACACAAAGGTCTCGACTCGTGGTTTATCTCCAGAGCTAGCACAGAACCCCTTCCCATCCTGCAGCACTACCCCACTGCCCCTACAGAATCTCCCCAAAGGGCTTGTCATTCCCTCTGCGTTGGAATGAATTTCCTCCCTGGGCAGATTGTGTTTGTAAATTGATTATACAGAGCAAGTCTAACAGGCTCAATACTTTATTTAAATGACTCCCTTGAGGAATTTCCTTAAACTGCCCCCATAGAGTTGTTGTAAGGGGGGTTTCCAATAAGAAGCCCAAAATGCACAAGCGTGAGCAAGTTTCTGAAGTATCCATAGGAGCCACAATGTAAATGGGAACCTGACTGGCATGTGTATAAACACCCCTCTAATACACCCTTGCTTGCCAGCCCTCTTCATGTGGATGAGATGCATGTTCTGAGCATGAGTTCTTTCTAATCTTATAATGACCTTTTCTCTTCAGCTACTGACACTCTGACTCATAATAGGATTGCTGGTTCTGCCGGACTAAAGTTTTTACACTAAACTTCTTCCTTCTTTGGTTGAGACATTGTACTAACACACTTTTATTTTACAGCCCCTGTGTATGGATTACACCTGCCTGTTTGAGACAAATATGTAAATATATATATGGATAGAGATTTGAATATTTTTCACCTGGGTTTGCGCTATTATGATTTTTTTGGTTTCAGACATGATGTTGATAGTCATTGGTCATAGACTGTAAGTACTTACATGGGGAGAACATTTCTGGTAGTAGACGGCTCTTTAGCCTAGCAGAACGAGCCCTGGCAAGATGCAGTGGCTGGAAGTTGAAACTAGACACATTCAAATTGGAAATCCTTTTAATAGGAGGGTAGTTAACCATTGGAACAGCTTCCTAATGGATATGGTGGATTCTCCATCACTTGAAATCTTTAAATCAAGATGACATCTTTCTAAGGGCTGGTCCACACTAAGCCCCCAGTTCGAACTAAGATACGCAACTTCAGCTACGTGAATAATGTAGCTGAAGTCGAAGTATCTTAGTTCGAACTTAAAGGTACTTACCCTGGGTCCTCACGCGGCAGGCAGGCTCCCCCGTCAACTCCGCCTACTCCTCTCGCGGAGCAGGATTACCGGCGTCGACGGCGAGCACTTCCGGGATCGATTTATCGCGTCTAGACAAGACGCGATAAATCGATCCCAGAAGATCGATTGCTTGCCGCCGAACCAGCGGGTAAGTATAGACATACCCTAAGAGAGAGTTTTTAGATCAACCACAAGTTGTCGGGCTCGATGCAGCAATCACTGTGTGAAACCCTCTGGCCTATGTTATACAGGAGGTCAGTCTAGATGGTCCCTTCTGGCCTTGAGATCCATTAATGTATGAATGTTGTCTCTTCGTTGTGAGGTTATCGTGGGAGGGAATAACAATGAAGTGCGGATCTGGTGTTATCCCTAGTGTTAGCGACTGGTCCATTGATCAAGTTTGCCGAAGATGCAGCAGTATGGGGACAGGGCTAAGCATTGCAGCTCATGGATTTTTCAGTAGTGCCTAAATGACTCAGTGTCCAGTATAATAAGTAGCAATCGGTGCCCCTGATTGTTGTTGAAGCCAGTTGCTAGTCTGGAAAAACATTTCAACTCCCTTTAAATAACAGCTTGGTTGGGCAGGACATTTGTTTCGGTCTTGGTTAATTATTGGTTAATAATCTTGGTGCAGTTATTTCTGTAATAGCTTCCTTGACTTGAATCAACTCAATAATGACAAGTAGTAACCTTCCTGGTTGTATTTTCGGGTAGCACTGGGGAAAGGGGAAAAAAAGAATTGATCAGTTAAACTGTTGGTGTTTTCAGGATGCCCAGGAGAAGTAACTCAATATATA